TCTTGTTTTGGTCGAAAATCCACCTATACACCTATACAGATAAGCAAAATTTATTGAAAAGGAAGCATCATTCAATCATTCAGGCTTTCATCTTCAGGTCTGAAAAGGAAAGGCAGAGAGAAAGGACTCTAAGAGGGAGAGGCCGAGAGGCAACATGGTGAAAGACGCGTGAGGAAAGATAAGCGGAAACAAAGGTAGGTTACATCAGGTCGAAGGTTCAGGCGAAGGGTGGTCGGCAAAAGAGAGCAATCTGTGGATATTTCCAGGATAAATGCCACTAATAAGGTTAAAACTGGCAGGTGATTTATCATGGACGAGTCCATTAGTCTACAGCCGGTGAGCATCAGTCAAAGGAAAGACAACTCGCGCAGCTGACCAATCCATCCGATGGCCTGTGTACCACTGGTCGCAGAAGAGGGCGTTGCTGGTGTGCCCCCCCACCCCCCTCAAATACAGCATATTTATGTTCAAAGAGACGCTCAGTGGCGCCTGTCTCGCCACAGTGCTGACAGGAAGCACAAGTAATACCATAAGTACCAACCTTCGAGAAATAGGGAGAAATTATTTGGACCAGTTCACGGTGGAGAGTATTAAACTGGCGAAAGATAAACCTGCAATTGAAAGAATAAAGGGAACGACAGAGAGAGGAGATCTCAGTGCAGGGCAGACTGAGAACAAGCAGGTGAGGAGTCTCTCTTGGAAAAAGAGTCGTGATTGAAGGTACACCGTTCCTTAGATAACATGGCATCGAGAACTTGGTGAGGGTAACCCAGCTTAATGAAGGAACAATGTAAGAATGATCTATCTATCTACATACTGAGGATCACAGATGCGGAAGGTGCGCATGGGGTGGGTGGTGCTAAAAGTGAATGGACATCCAAGTATGCATGGGTTTCCTGTGTAATAAAACAGAGAAATGGTCAGCAGAGCTTGTTGCCAACCTCTCATTCTCCCTTGAAACGAGTAGAGGGTAGAGAGAATTCTGCTCCGCCATGAAATCCAGGAAGAGGGGCGGGTCATGGGGCCAAAGAGAAAGACGTCAAAATACCTTGTAGCTAAACAGATGGACGGAAAGAGATGGAATGGAGAAGCTCAGGGTCGAAGTATTCCATGAACAGGTTACAAGGTGATTACGATCATAAAGTTATTTAAGGGAACTTCAAGTTTGAGGTTCTAGCAGTTCAACGTATTTATTTTTTTTTTTCACGGAATTTTACACAGCTATAAGACAGCATATGTAACACTCCCATGACTTTATTGTTTTACTCTTCGATTTTTATTGTCAGAGCTAATATTAATATCCCTTTTCAGAAAGCCATAACTCAAAATAATTTGTATTTTATCATATTTTGCACACGTGTTGTTACACTATATATCTTCAAATGTATACATTCGACATTTTGATGTATATCAATGAATAAGAGAGAAGAGGTTTTACCAACTTCCATCTAAATTTTACTTTTTGACTTTTATTTTAATCGAAACAAGAGTTAAAATAAAATTATAAACGAACACACAAGTAGGTTTGTACTCCATTCTAGCACACATGACAGTCTGGTGAGAATATAAAAAGATATGTCCGAGTTGTAGGCATTTATATTGGGAAAATGTAGCTTTGAATTACAGGCTCCTAAATATGGAAATTTCTTTTCGTTCTTAATTGTGCCATCTCTGTATTTATCATACTTATACATTTGCACGTTAGGAAAATAATTGTAAAAGTGATATGTTGGCTTCAATAGCCCCTGTTTTCCCCGCCCTTCTGTGCCTGAGGGGTGTCGAAGCTTCAAAACTCCTCTGTTTGCGCATTTAGAAATCTTCTCCTTTAGCTTTATCAGTTGGAAAGAGGGTTGAGTTGCGTTGGCATTGATTTACTGTTGAAGTGATACCTTCTTATACTCAATGATGTGATCCAGTACTGCAATTTGAGTAACAAAGCAGATCCTAGAATATCCTTAAAAGCTCAACACGAAAAAGGATAGATGAATTCCATGGCACATTTTCATATGATGTGTGAGGTTGGGGGAGGGTGAAGGGACGCCAGGGGCTGGGGGTGAGGCAATGTCAGTCACCTGAATCTTCCTCTCTTTGAACAATGGAAAATCAGTCCTTCCTTTTCTTCTGCTCTGATACTTTTCTGAGATTTCCAAGATGCGTCATGTGGCTCTTTACTTCAGAAGGTTTTGGCATGTTGGTTAAAGATGAGTGACAGTAATAAAACAAGGGATAAGCATGCTTTATGAGGGGGGGGGGGCTCATTAAAGATTTCCGCATGCCACAAGAGACCTTCGATGGGGATGATGCCCCATCATATGATGTTAAACATTGGCATCACCAGTTCAGGTGTGGGTGGAGATCTATGGAAACAACATCTATCCCAGGGCGCCCCCAGTCTGCCAATGATGAGGACACCATCTGTTAAGTGTAGACGACCATTTTGGAAGATAGCCGTATTACTGATTAGGGTTGGGTCTGTGGACAAAATCATTCATGGCCATCTGTATATCCAAAACTTGTCTATGTGATGGGTTCCCAGGCTACTCACACTTTTTGCCATGTGCCAGGAAAACCAGAAGGACCTTATTGACAGATTAATTAATCAGGATACAACTTGGGTCCGTCACTATAATCCAGAAACTAAGGCCCAGTCAAAATAATGGAAGCGCTTTGACTCATCACCCGCCAAAAAGGCACATGTCACACCCTTGGCAGGCAAGGTCATGCTCACAGTCTTTTCAGACCAGTAAGGAGTAGTGAGGATGGATTTTCTGGCAAAAGGTACTACAGTTACAGTTTACTATGCTTCACTGCTACAGAAATTATAGGAGGCTATCAAAACCAAGGGGCGAATTATGTTTACCAAAGGTGTCTGCCTACTACAAGACAATGCCTTAGTTCAAAACTTGCACATTGCCTAGATGGAAGTGCGGTCCTATGGCTATAGCATCCATCCTCATCCTCCTTATTCTCCTGACCTTGTATCAGTCTGTGCAGCAACATCAGTTGAAGGCAAATCTCTTTAGAGGTCACAGAATCTGACAATTATTCTGTAAAAGGTACATTTTCCCTCTCTGGCATAACTGCTGTATGCTGAATCATATTTGCCTCCTAGCAGCAGCACTACAATAGCACTTCTTGGAAGCTTGACATAACAGTGCTACCAGATACGGAAAACTAAGCTACCTATGAAGTTGGCATTTCATCTCTCCTTGACTGTACATATCACCTGTATGTGGAGAATATGATATCCTAGTAAGTGAATTACATACACAACGTGACACGTTTAGAAACCACTGAAAAGGAATGTCGTCAAGCTTTTTGCCTAAATGCATTACCAATGACTTTTGGTTTATTAGAGTGATAATTACAGAATCATGAAAAGGGCAATACAAAAACAAAGTCAGTTTCACAATTTTATTAATACATCAGACTATTATAGAAAGAGGTGTACAAGCATGGACTTGTTTTGCTTATAAAGCAGATAACATCAAATGCCATATTGTGACAATTATCATCTTTTCTTAAAGAAGCTTCTGATCCTTGCTTTCATTGCCAAGCTCTGTGGTTCACAGTTTTGCTTCGAACCTTTTAGAAGTCCACTTTCTCCAGAATAGAAACAGATGAAGGGCCACCAGGATGAACATTTTTTATATAAATATCTAATTTACATCCAATACAAATTGTAGAAAGAAGGAAGGTTCTGACATTGAAGGTGAATCTTGAAGGGCACAGTTCAGTGTAACACATTGGACATTCCTCAATTGCATGACAGACTACTAGATAATGCCCCTTTGATGGTATCGATTTACGTGTTTTTCTAGGACCTCCATTTCTTCGTGAACGGTTGGATACTGATTTGCTTTTTGGCTGCTCTGATTTTCTCTTCAGGTCCTTTGGTAATCTGGGTGAATTCACACTGCCAGATGCTCTAGATACTGATAAACTAGTGTTTTCCGAGTTACTCTGTGTATAAAGCCTTTCATGGGGAGGTTCACTATTACTGTTTATCTTGATCTGAGGACATAATCTTCTGTCGTGTATTTTCATCCCTCTGCTAGATGCACTAGGCAAATCAGTACTTTCTCTTCTTGCCTCTGCATAATCTCTGGCAATCTGAAATTCAACTGCCTCACCTAAATGCTCAAGGTCATATGTCTGAGCAAGGATATAGTCACCAACATCTACAGCTTTATGAATTGTCGAGTTTGGGATTTCATGTTCATCCACTGGAAACGTATCTGTTGATTTCAGGTCATTATCTATATTTGTCTGAGAGGAATTTTCATCCTGAATATTTTCGTCCTGGTCGACGGCCTTTTTGAGTGGTTCAGTTATGATATCCATTTGTGCAAGTCAAAATGGATTTCTTCTGAAAACGTGTCCAAAATATACTCTGAATGGTTTCATGGCATATTCTTAATTGTGTAAACTTTTAAAATACACCACTTGCGCATTCAGCTACACATTTTCTGAAACACTATACTCTGCTTTACAAGTGTTTATTTACTAATCTCACTAAGTAGTCACAGTCTCTCCCCCCAAAAGTAACTGTACGTCTCTCACCAGAGTTCCACATATGAAACATGTCAATAATTCTGGAAGTTTTCCCAAATACAACATTGCCTTCTTTCCCGAACTTTCCACATCCGTAGGCAGTGTATCATTGGACATCATTGTAGTGTATTATTGCAGCATTACCCCTTACCGTTCTCCTTCACAAAGACAAGCATCTCTCCTGAAACAGTAAAGAAACACAGATATTCTCATTTCTTTTATATATTTTTTTCCTGAGGGACACATACTACCTTAACTAAAAGTACAGTAAATCATATTTGTACATCGAAATCATAATACAGCTTACATTTGTTCTATGCACGAGCTTCATGAACAGTCTAGATTAAACACTGCCGGAAACTGCTTTGCAACTTGAACCTTCCAGCCACAAAAAAAGTAATGAGTGGTACGCCATAGGACGTTCTCTCCACAGAGGCTCACGCGCGACTGTGTTGTAACGAGTAAAGCAAATGCAACCTGACAATGGCCTTGACTCTCATTGGTTAGACCCCAGCTTGCCTCACAGCCTCTCATGTCATGTTACCAGCCCTACACTCTCTTCTGGTTTACTTGCAGCAGAGAGAGAGAGAGAGAGAGAGAGAGAGAGAGAGAGAGAGAGAGAGAGAGAGAGAGAGAGAGAGAGAGAGAGAGAGAGAGAGAGATACACTCAGACAGATAGAGATACACTTGCAACAGAGAGAGAGAGAGACAGAGAGACAGATAGAAATACACTAACTCAAAAAGTGACAAAGACAGAGGCGGAGTTAGAAAGAAAGAAAAAGAGACAGACAGACAGATAGAGATACATTGACAAAGAAAGACAGAGGCAGGAATAGAAAGAGATAGAGAGGAGAGAGAGAAAAACAGAAATAAATATATATATATATATATATATATATATTATATATATATATATATATATATATATATATATATATATATAGAGAGAGAGAGAGAGAGAGAGAGAGAGAGAGAGAGAGACAGAGAGAGAGAGAGAGAGAGAGAGAGAGAGAGAGAGAGAGAGATACACAGTGACAGATAGAGACACAGGAAGTGGCAAAGGCGCAGATAGAAAGAGAGAGAGAGAAAGAAAGAAAGAAAGGAAAAGAGAGAGAGAGAGAGAGAGAGAGAGAGAGAAAGACGGTGACGGGAATAGAACGAAACAGAGGAAGAGAAAGAAAGAAAAAAGAAAAAAGTTAGAGAGAGAGAGAGAGAGAGAGACAGACTCCTAGGGGGTTCAAAGATGCTGGGTATGAAGTTGCAATGAGTAAAGCAATCGCAGTAGGATATTGGCCTTGACTCTGAGTGGTTAGACCCCAGCTAGCCTCACAGCTTGTCTCGGGGTCGTGTTACCGGGCCTGCATTCTCTTCTGAAGCTATCAGCTGCTACGCCATCTATCCCTGAAGAAGGACAAACATAAGGCATGACAAGAGAATTAATCCAATTTGTTCGGTACAAAATAGGGGAAGCAAAGACGCCTGAAAAATACTCCAGCAACTCACTTATCTATTTAAGTTCCTTGTAACCGGAACAAAAAAGAAATGTCACCAATACAAAGAAACAATACTTATGGTAAGTAATGTGTAAACGTGTCCAGCACTGACCAATGATATGAAGAAATAATCTGCATTTGAGGAAAACTCGTTTAATTTTTGTTTATTCTATTTGCTGAACTTTTAACAAACATTTGGCATGAAAAGACACCTGAAAAATACTCCAGCAACTCAAAACAAATTTGAACCATTACAAAATTCAACAGGGATAAACTCACGCACCAAAATCAACAGCTGTGACCAAATAGTTTAGCGCAAGTTTGCCTAAGAGAGCTTGCTATCCCAGCAAGTCGGTTTCTATTGAATTTCCAGCGCGGGGAAAACATTAAACACCGCGCGGAAACTGAACTACCACGCGCTTGGGGTTACCGAAGGGGAAAAAAGCGGTTGGTATCGTTGTAAAAATATATCAGGTGGGTACTGGTCAGATAAGGGACTGAACTTGGGTTGGGACACTCATGAAAAAAACACACTGCAATAGAATTATATGTGTACGTACTCAGGTTTTTGCAGAGGCTAAAATTTGTAAGCTTGAGAGAGAGAGAGAGAGAGAGAGAGAAAAACAGAGAAAAAAACGAGAGAAAGAGAGAGAGAGAGACTGACAGATGGTGGATGGGAGTTGAGACCCTTACAAAATTACAATTATCAATTATTAAGAATAGCTACTATCACGCACTGGCATCGTCCCTTTTTGCTCTTGTAGAACGTCATCAAAAGCATTTTTTATGTGTGTTTTGTTTTGCTTTCTATGCATTCGACCTCTTTGCCCCCCCCCCCTTTTTTCACACACACACCCTAACCCCCCTTCGGCGCTGACGGGGTATTTGTCTGACCCTAATCTTCATGGGTAACGATTGAGAAGAAACAGATTCACACAGGTACTTGCACGCTAACCTTACTGTATGACATATGCACTCGTTTATCTCTCTCTCTCTCTCTCTCTCTCTCTCTCTCTCTCTCTCTCTCTCTCTCTTAACCCTTTCCCTCTCCCTCATGCCTCACCCTTACCATCAACCGTACCCTCTGCCCCTCTCTCTCTTTCTTCTAATTCTTCTCCTTCTCTCTTTCTCTCTCCCTCTCTCCCTCCTTTTCTCTCTCTTCTTATCCCCTCCTCTCTCTCTCTCTCTCTCTCTCTCTCTCTCTCTCTCTCTCTCTCTCTCTCTCTCTCTCTCTCTCTCTCTCTCTTTTACATTCACTAGTCCTCAGCACAGATACAGGTATTCCCATGGAATAGTAAAAACGCGTTACTCTATCGACAGGCTTGTACAGTAGACTGGTTTCTGGTCTAACCTTAAGGCCACAAAAAAATATCGATTCTCGACGGGGCAGCGAGTGTGTACGATGAATATCACATACGTATAAAACTGAAAGATGGAATAATGCAATGCTGCA